GGCTCATTCACCTTTCCATGTATACCACAAAAGATGCATCTATGGGATGGTTACATATGCGATTATTATTAACCCGCAACTTGGCCGGTGTTTGCGAGGTAACTTGCTCAATAATTTAATTTCGAGCATAATTTTCAGATTTTTTATTCAAGATAATTCATCTTGATAAGTTGGTTTACATCATAGTTGGTTTAGCAAATGAATTTATTGAGTGCCTCCACTTAATAGCTAAATAATTGTTTATGAGAACAAAGTTATCTATATCAGTTTGGTATAGGTTATATACGAAAGTATATTACATTCTTCCCTTACAAGTGGTTTAGGGTCAGGAACCAAATAATTACATCTTGTTGTTATTAATATGCGGTGTATATTTTGATTAACACCATAACGCACAAAGATGGATTTCCAAAGTTGAGGAAGGAAGTTAGTTTTTCTAACATGAGGGGGAGACATGATAAACAGTTGAGGAAAAGTTACTGAAAAGAATTATCATCTTTACATCTAGATCCTCGAATAAGATAGTATGAACTTGAAGTTCATAAAAAGATAATTCATGTGCAATATATTGCAAAGCATGCTAGACGCATTGCTGACCCAAAGAAAGTAACTATATTCTCACTGCAAATGCTCCCATTAGAATAAGTCCTAGAAGGACAAAGTCTATGGTACACTTAAAGCGTATAGACAAATCGGTTTCAATTAAAATTCTTGATAAAGAAGATGAGCAAATGATCAAAATGATCATAATAAGGAGGCAAGTGATCTAGAAGATCACATGACATAACACTTCATAAAATCTCAAGAGAGATTCAGGTACCTGAAAATATGAATGAAGAGATATCTATGTCATGTCTTTATGAAAAAATATTGGAACCGATTTAAAATGTTCGTTGACGACATCTATGATAGCGCTAAGTATAGATGAGTATCTTAAGTTTGTCGAATACAGACACAAAAATATTGGCCAAATAGAAGAGACGCAATTCGAATAGAATTTGTTTCATATGAAAGACAAGTATTTGGACCTGCAGTTCAAACACTTGAAAGTATAAAGTCAATGATAGGTGCAATCAGTTTTCGATATCTTATTTGTCTAGCATGACATGAAAACTTGATATTCATCTAATTAAAGTCAATTATATGACTTATATGACTTAACTTATATGACAATCCTTGAAGGATTTAAATCGCTTGAAGCATATACAATTCTTGGCATGAAGTACCATATGATAAGTGTAATTTGTGAACATATGTATATTGCTATAACTATAAGCACGATAATGTGATAGCGGGAATATTTACCTCTATGAAGATATTGAAAAGGTTATTCCACGACATTATATGAAGAGATTACATATATACAAGACTGGTGATTTCAAGGTGCAAATTATTCATTCAAGTGATAATATGGCTGATTTGTTCACCAAATCTCTACCGATGTCAACCTTCAAGAAGCTAGTGTACAAGATTGGGATGCGAAGGCTCAAGGATGTGAATTGATACTCTCATCAGGGGGAGTTAATACGCGTTGTACTCTTTTTTCCTTGCAAGGTTTTGTCCCACTGGGTTTTCCTTGCAAGGTTTTTAACGAGGCAACTAAAAGGCGTATTGTTAGATATGTGTACTCTTTTTCCTTCTCTACAATTTTTTTCCCACTGCGCAACATATTCATTCAGGCGCTTACAACTGGACTGCCCTGATTTTAGGCGTTTTTTGCTGTTGTATTCATGAATACATGGCGCGAATACATGTGAATACATGCACGTACAGCTGGACTACCCTAATTTTTAGGCGCTTTTTGCTGCTGTGTTCATGAATACAGCAGCGCGAATACAGCAAATACACTACTGTAATAACTGAATAGTAACTATAGAAAGTAATTATGTATATGGTAGCTATAGGAAGTTAATAACGACTAAACAATAGTGATTTCTGAAAATTCTTCTTCTTTTTATCAACCCATTTACGAAGGGAAATTTTCGTTCCTATACCATATAGGAAACTATATTACCAAATATGTTCATAATTTGCATATTACCCTTCATGCTAATAGTATTCCTACAAAATATAGACAATGCATTAAATAAGGAATCATTGTAGCTGTAGGATTCCTTATTTAGGCGCGCTAAAATTGGGGAATTAAATATTCTTCAAGATCTTCCACAAACGCAGATCACGCACATTCCATAATTATCGTCGGCTTTACTCTGATCTTCCACAACGCAGAACAAGATTTTCCATACTCTGTTTTTGAGATACACTCTGTTTCCAGAATTCTCTCTACATCTCTCTCTATCTCTCAATCCCAAATTTCAGTAATACAAAGCAAATGAAAAGAGAGCAGCAATTCCACTATTGACAGCCATTAAAAAGCTTGAAAGCTTTGAATTCAAATTTGGGTTTTCAAAAATCATTAATTGTTTGGATTGGGTGTTGTTGAAAATAATCGGAAATATGGTTTGGAGTTTATATCTCAATTTTGAGGGGTTTTGATGAAGATTAGACTTGGTTTTGACTGAATTTCAGATTGAAACTCGAAGAAGAAGAAGAAGAAGAAGAAGAAGAAGAAGAAGAAGAAGAAGAAGAAGAAGAAGAAGACATATTTCCAGAAATTGTAGATAAATTGTAGATAAATTGTATTCTGATTGTAGATGCTTTATTTTCTGTTTTCACAAATAAAAAATGGCTAAAACTTCTACAAATCTTCTGAAAAAACGTAATTATGTCAAAAATCCCAATTATGCTACAATTGAATGGGAATTGGGATATTAAAATTCAATGTACCCAGTTTGTAGATATTTTGTAGATAAATTGTAGATTATTTGTATTCTGATTGTAGATGCTTTGTTTTCTGTTTTCACAAATCAAAAACGACTAAAACTTGTACAAATCTTCTGCAAAAAATGCAATTATGTCGAAAATCCCGATTATGCTACAATTTTGTGATTCTCCTATATGCTCTTGTTACTCCTTACGAAACTGCTATGCTAAATATGGAATCCAAAAAAACATGATGAAGGGATAGATCTTCCTAAGAAATTTTGTGGATAATTTGTAGAAACATTGAAATTCTGTATTTTCATATTAATTTTTCAAATGATATGTAGTTTTGTTATAGATTAAATGTAGAAAACAAGCCATTGTGAGTCTTATTTGACTCATTCCTCACATTCAACCTATTCTACAAATTCACGCCTCTTTAAATACAATACAACCATACTTTCTTGAATTTAAAGGTATAGCAATATATATAACTTAAAAAACATCTTCTCCTCTGCACAAGTTAGCTCCAAAACAGACGAAGTGGAATAACAAGCTCCCATCAAAACTTTTAACACAAAAACACAAAGCTCAAAAATAAATAAACAACAGTCTACAATTTTTCTATAATTTTTCTACAATTTATCTACAATTTCTGCAATATAATGTATGTCATGTCTTCTTCTTCTTCTTCTTCGAGTTTCAATCTGAAATTCAGCCAAAACCAAGTCTAATCTTCACCAAAACCCCTCAAAATTGAGATATAAACTCCAAACCATATTCTCAATTATTTACAACAACACCCAATCCAAAAACATACCACCTGACATTTGGATGATTTAATGTCACCGTCTCAGTCACAACTCGTGCAACACGAATTGCTGATGGGGTTCCACCTCTAAACATATATTTAAATTTTGATGTGTCCCCAGAAATGCAAATCGGAGGTAAAGAATCATTTTCTGTAGTATTATTTGTGTAATTGGATGGCATTTTTTCAAGAAAAACACAACCCCTCATTTTTGAACCAGCCTTCCACCACATTTTAACTAATTCTTTCCTAGTAGACCATGCTTTCTCGTTAGATGCAATACCAAATACAATATGTTCAAGATTTGTATCTGATAATAATGTTGAATCATTTTGAAGCGAAACTGACTTGTGGAGTAATTTGGTGTAATTACACTGTGGTGATACGTGGGTGAGGGTGTGGGTTTAGGAGAGAGAAATGTGGGGGGTGGGATATGGAGGAATATACAGTACCATAATTTAAGGAGTGATATAAGGTACAATTAATGTATAGTTAAAACATCTTATGGTATAGAATTGATAATTAGGTATACTAAATGTAATTATATCAAACCTTAAATATTGAGGGTAATATAGTTTCCTATATGGCATAAGAATGTAAAAATTCCTTTACGAAAGGGTTCTTCTTATTGGGCTTCAGCATAAAGGTAGTCAGCAATTCTTTCTTCTTTTCTGGATTATTTCACACTACCTATATAGAACCATAGCTCCGAGCTGTGTGTTTAAGATGATTAATGGTAATAGGATTTTCATTTGATTTTTGCATCATTTGATTGTATAGTTAGTTTTTTTGTTTGAAAAATTGCCGGATTCTGTCCTCAAACTTGACTAGCTGGTGTAAGGGTATGTTAGGCAGTTAATATTTCGGTTTGCTTTAGCTATTTGTTAATCTTCAATAGAAAATTGGATAGCTTAATTTAAGTCCTTAAATATCCTCATTGTTTTTCCATTTACGTCCACTGATTAGGGGTCATTTATACGAGAAAATGATAAAAACGGTCCATTTTGTTTGGTTGTAGGTTTAAAATAACTCCTTAAATTTACTTTTGAGCCGTTGTGGCCCTTTAAGTTTACAAAAAATGAGACTTTTGATTTTTATTAAATATTTATAAATTCTGTCTTTAGTTTTATCGAGATCTTTGAATTTTTTTTAACCAAAATCACTTGAAAACCTGTTGAATCCTATAAATTGCAACACCAAAAACCACACCAAAACATCGAAAATAGACAGCAAAAACGGTATGTTCCAACGTGTGCTCTCCTTAATTTTTTTTTCTTCATAGTTCCCGTTAAATATAGATATTAAAGTTTATTAATTATTTGATGGAGACCAAAAATGCCCACTTTTGAAATATTTAGACGACCAAAGCTGCTTAAAAGTATATTTAAGCACCATTTTGAACGTAACCTGAACATAATAGACCATTTTGTCACTTTCTCCGTCATTTATGTGACTTCAGAATTGCCGTTCTTTCACCAAAGCTAGAGAATTTGTGCTCTTTCGAAACCCTGGCTGCGCTTCTTTCACTTCGTTTCTAAAAGTTCATCAAGCTGTGCTTCGTCCTTGTAAGTTCTTATGATACGTCTCCATATATTGTTGTTCTCTTGTCGCAATTATTGCTGTAATTTTTTTGGTGCGATTCATGTGAGCTGCTCTGTGTTTGTGTTTGTGTTTCTATTTGTGCTTTTTTGGGTTGTAAGTTTTTTTTGTATGTTCAAATCAAGTTTTAGGGATCTATTTTGGTTAGATTTCCCTTAGGTTAGTTAGATTCTACCTCCGTCCCGGTACACAGACTTTTGAAACTTGTGGTTTAAGTAAGTCAGATATATTTTGTATGACTATAAATCAGCTTATTAAGAATAAAATGAAAAGTTTAAAGATAATCTATTTCTAAATGTAGGAAGGTGTTCTTTTTAGGACAGACTAGGAAGGAAAGTGTGCCATATAAAATAGGACAGAGGAAGTATTTTCTCCCTCTGTCCCAATTGGTATCATTTGACACGACACGAAGTTTAAGAAAAGAAATGAATACTTTTAAGTTAAAGTATTTCTAAATATAGAAAGGTGACAATCTTTTTGTGACATACTAAAAAGGAAAGGAGTGCCGCATGAATTGGGATGGAGGGAGTATTAAAATTCCAGCGATCTTTCACACATATATTCATGTTCCATGTCGAAAATACTGGTTTCATCTACATCCACCATTGCTTGATCCTTCTCCCCCAAATAACCTCTCATCAGAAATCTCAAATAAAGCCAACTCCTCATCTATAGTGTAGAGCCTATTTGACTATCAAAGTCATACGAAGTAAAAGATTCAAATGATTTATTTCTTGTATCTCCTGACTACTTTTAGATTATGGATAACAAATGACAGATATTGAAAAATATATTACAAGTTCAAAAACCTCTGTAATCAAATTTTGACGTGTTCAGGACGTAATTTTACTACTAACAGTAGAAAAGAGGAGTGAAATTAACTTTATAATCTTCAATTCTCCATGCCTAAACATGTTTTACTAGACAAACTACAGGAATACTAGATTACATATCTATACTTGTGGTTTCGTTTGAGTTTTGTCATATAGTAGCCAAACAGATATATTCCTGACTAGGTTATCCGGTATGGATTAATGGTTACTTTGTTTGAGTTTATTGGACATCAATGGAGTTGGTCTTTCCTTTTGATTTTAAAGTGAAATCTCTCATTCCTTAGTAACTATGAAATCTAAGAAAACATTATGAGGAATGAAGTTTTAAAATATTTGTATAGTATAGATGGATACTCTTAACACATTATACATAACTGCAGTCCGTTATGACAGTTTGATAACATATTTATGATAGGTTCACTAAAACCACATATTTATTGGAGGATTTCCCACCCCCAAAAAGAAAAACAAGCTGACATTTAGCCTAATAATGTGTTTGCACGAATAGTTGAATCAACAGTAAGTTAAAAAGTTACATTTCCCTTCATTATTCAATGTTTGCTGGCAATATTCATTGATTTAAAGTATAAAAAAAACGCCTTAATCATTGCATCCCTTTGGACAAAATCATTGGCTATGCTTGCAGAAAAACTTTTTCTACAATAATATCATTGATTGAGGTGATGGCCTATCAGGAATTGGCACCATATAAAGGTTAAACGGTTCTTTTTGTTATAGAAGTCAATTGTCGTTTAAACTAGGTATAGTGTTTGGGAGATTTAAACAAAGGTCAATTGTCATTTAATGGAGTGATTTACTCATAAAAATGCAAAAACTAAAGGTCTAGGACGGAATCTAGGTTGGTTTTTTATTTTTATGTTATGTTCCTGAAATGCAATATAGCAGTAATAAGGCATATTATATTGACTGTGAAACTAAGGTGTGTTGACTGTATCCATATCCAGACTTTATGCTGCATCGCTTAAGTTGCAATAGCAGTGAATGCCCTCTGGGCAGCATGTAGTTCATCATTCTTTTAATAGTTTGATCTACTTGATAGAGGTATTTTCTATTATACAAGCTATTTACCTCAGTGAACCATTGACAATATGCAGATCATGAGAAAATAAGAGAAATTGATCAGTTATTGGAAGTTCCTTAAGTGGCAAACACCATCTAAGTAGTATTTCAAGAAGTACAATCAAATCATTAGCGATGGGTGGTAACAAGCAAAGGCGTAAAACTCATCATCACTCTCATCGAGGAGAATCCAGCCGCACCCGTCAACCTGTTGATTCTCTCAGGGTTGAAGAGTCTTTACCTGCAGAACTTGTAGAAGAAGAGGAACCAACAGGTCCAAGAGTTCAGTTGGCTATGTGGGATTTTGGTCAGTGCGATGCGAAAAGGTGCACTGGACGGAAGCTTGCAAGATTTGGTTTGTTGAAAGAGCTGCGTGTTGGTACTGGATTTGGTGGCGTTTGTTTAAGTCCCACCGGATCACAGTGTATCTCAAGAGAAGATAGTAGTTTAATTGATCGAAGGGGGTTAGCTGTAGTCGATTGCTCATGGGCTCGCTTGGATGATGTACCTTTCACAAAATTGCGTTGTGCTGCTCCACGTCTTTTACCATGGTTGGTAGCAGCAAATCCAGTAAACTATGGTCGTCCATGTGAGCTATCTTGTGTTGAGGCTTTAGCAGCAGGTTTAATTATATGCGGTGAGGAGGAAACTGGAAATTTACTGCTCAGCAAGTTCAAATGGGGTCATGCATTCTTGTCCCTCAATAAAGAACTTTTGAAGGCATACTCAGAATGTAAAACAAGTGCTGATATTGTTTCAACTCAGAACGAGTGGCTTTCCTCGCAAACCTCAAATATTCCACAAACTCTAAAAGGAGAAGACACTGGATCTCACAGTGAAGGTGAAAATTCTTCAAATGATTCTGACGATGGACTTCCTCCTCTAGAAAAGAACATGAATCATCTTCACGTGAACAGCGATGAAGAGAGTGAATAGCATACTTTCTTTGTTTTCCTTTGTAAAATGGAAAATATAGGTAGTAGTTGCAATAAAAAAAAAGAGAGAATGTTTGCTGAATTAGCATAGCAGAATCCTCTATTCTGCTTAATGTTAGAATGTGGAGAGCATTTTTCACAAGACACCTTAGTTTAGTTATATGTGATCATCCTTACAAAAGTAGCACTAGTTACATGATTCCTAGTTTTACCAGTTGTCAAATTCGGACAAGTTCCTGAAATATCTGCTTGTATTGTACTATCAAGACTTGGTATACTTGAAGAAAACTACACTATTTTGGTGTCATTGGTTTTAAAGGTATGAAATCTATAGACAGACAGAAAGTGATATATTGGAACTAAGAAGGATTTGTCTATAAATGCTGCAATTTATGACAATGATTAAAGAGCACATGATGTATACTCCAAAAAGAACAAAGAAATAAGTTTTAAAGTTTCATCTACATAAAGTCAAAAGCAAAAATTAAATGGAATGATCCTTCTTGTTCTCAGAGAGCTATTTGGAACTAGAAGTGTTTGGACCACTTTGACCAACTCCTGTTGATTTAACCTCTGGGGTTTTCACCTTAAACCTCTCAAGCCTCAACTGAGATTCATCAATTCCTCTATTTTCTTGATCTTTATTAGGACTCCTTTCAAAATCAATAATCTGAGCTTCATTTTCTTGATCTTTGTTTGGAAATATATTCTTTAAGAAGTCTCCACTTTTCAAGCAGAGGTCTTTGAAGAACTCTAGAATCATATTCAATCTAAGATCCAGTAAATGAATCAATAAAAGATTGACAAAAGGGAATTTTTGGATTAAAGACTAACAAAAGTTTTGAGAAGTTGGGATCAGGCTTTGACAACTATTATGTTTTGACAAGTTAAGGGATTAGAATTCAGTTGGGATGTTTCATGTGGTAATTGTTTATGTAGTTGTGTAGCTTTCTTGGTCATAGGTGGCAGGGATATTTCTAAGAAAATGCTATTAAAGACACTTAATTTGACTTGGTCATTTCATGAAGCAACTCATGATGGCTGGCTTTTTGCTTTGTTGAATCTTCTTTGTTTTCTTTTCAAGGAAAAGGTTGAAATTTACCACAGAAATCTTTGATTTTTTTTTTAATTTACTGTTTACCTTTTGGTTCATACCCCTTTCTATTTCGACTTTTTTGAAAGGTGAAAGAGTAAGAAGCTCCTACGTGCCATGGAGGAGCCACGTAGATAAAAAAAAAGGGTAGTCCAGTGTACAAAACATCCCATATAAACACGGGGTCCAGAAAAGAATCGCAACCCTAAAGATGTAATGTAAACAAACAAAAGATTCAAATTTATTTTGTTCCTATCAAATTAGTTTATATATATATATATATATATATATATATATCCTTTGCAATAATTATGAGATCCTAGGATGAGGAATTATTCTATTGGTAAATTTTGTTGGGTTTTGCCCCCTGATTTACATTATAATGACATGTCTAATTCTTTTTTTTTTTAATTACTTTCTTTATTTTCATATGATCCTGAAATTACGACAGTTTTTAATCCTAACAAGCTCTCCTTGTATGCAATGATGTGGAGATGAACCTCTCATTTTTTATCTGTATTTTAGTATTTTTGGAGTAAAATCATTTCCAATTATATACATTATGTTTTAGGACGTAACATTATTTCTGCTTCATCCCCCTTGAAGGACTGTTCAGGATCTCCACAAAATAGAGTTTAAGTTATATACATTATCAGTGTAAAAGAAAATTACTCTAGTAAAAAAAACCTCTTAGTTTGGATTCATCGTAAACAAAAACAAAAAAAAGCATATATATATATATATAGTCTAGTTTGACAAGTGGGACTATAATCTTGCTAATCTTATCGCTTACCGTTAGGATCGTCAATTAGATGGTGTAATTAACATAAATAATCTTCTCATCAGCAGCCTTTTTTCACTTTGACCATATTGGTGGGCGTTTGGACATAAGAAATGTAAAATTTCGGAAAAAAAGTAATTTTTTTAAAATGAAAATAGTATGTGAAAATTAGAGTTGTGTTTGGACATGAATACATTTTGGGTCGTTTTTGAATTTTTGTGTGTGATTGAAGTGGATTTTGAATTTCTTTTTGTGTGGAGTTTTTCAAATTTTCGAAAAATTCTGAAATTTATCTTCAAGTAAAAATTGAAAATTTTATGGCCAAACAGCCTCTCTACTCCTTCGGGGTAGGGGTAAGGTCTGCGTACACACTACCCTCCCCAGACCCCACTAGTGGGATTTCACTGGGTCGTTGTTGTTGTTGTTGTTATGGACAAACACTAATTTCGAAAAAAGTAAAAAAAAGTTTTCATGGCCAAACGGTCCCTTGAATAACATAAACAATCCAGTCAAGCAACCATGATAGTCTAATTGTTGACAAATTTTATTGATTCCATCTACAAACACATCTAGATACAACAACAGCCTCAAATATCATAGATACATAGCCAAACCTCTCATTCATATTAGATGAAGAAATAGATAGAGAGAGACTAAAAAGAAAAAGAACTAGACACATAGATACATAGCCAAACCTCTCATTCTAACCCTAAACCATATTAGATGAAATGCAGTGCTTTGAGCAATACCAGCTACCTATACAGGTTTGGTCTCAGATGAGCATCATAATGTGAGACATGAAATGATGGGGTTGTACCTGTCTCATTCCTAGGAAGTGATCTTAGGTACATTTCTTCACCTGATAATAATTTTGGCACTACATTGGGGCTGAATGTGGTCGGTGAGGATCCATGTAGTGGACTCCAACTTGGGGATTGAGACGTAGTAATTGTTGTACTGAGGCAAAAAGGATAGGTGGGGTACACTGATTTACTAGAAAACGGAAGACCAAAACTCGAGGGAGGATTAAGGTAGTTGTATCCGGTGGAATATGGTAGACCTTTGTCTGAGGTGTTCCCAAAGACGGGCCTTTGTGAAGGTAGACCAAAACCGACATCTGAGAAAGGTCGGGTGGAAAGAGAAGAAAACATATTCCCTGTAATAGCATTTGATCCAGACTCCATGTACGGGGTTGTAGAGAATTTATCAGAGCCATTTTCAAGAGAATAATTTGCTGAACTGAACCTTGAAAACAAACCCGAGTAGCTGACAGTTGTAGTTGCTTCGGGTTGAAAATCTGTTGGTAGTCTGAAAAGGCCAGGGCACCCAGGTGGAATATCTAATCTGTCCTCAATTCTAGTTGTAAGAATAGAATGTCCTACAGTCTCCGCAGAAGATTTGAAGTCGTTGATCTGTTGGCTGAGTGAAAACTTAGCTTGTTCAAGTGCCCCCAGTATAGAACCTATATTATTTGAAGTGTTATGAGAAACCAAGGCTTGTTCATAAGATCCTTCAAAAGCTTGTCCTGCTTGCGAACTGCTACCTTCAGAAGATGGAATAGTATTTTCGAACGGGTGCATAGGGGAGCCATTCGCAGGCATAGATTGATGGCGAGTATAAGCAGGTATCGGGCCATGATTTTCTGGACAACTCCCATTAGACTTTGAGAATGCAAATTCTGATGCTGACTCTGAGGTAATAACTTTGCTGCAATTCTGATCCTTCCAGCGTCCAGTATCGATATGTGGAGTGGATGGAACATTGTCAGTAACTTCGTTCAGGGAGCGAGTATCTGCTTCCTGGAATTGGTTTGCATGGTTTTGCAAATTTATCATTCCAGCTGAGTATGATTGCTCGAATGCCTTCATGTCATCTCTTTCTTCAGTTACGTCCGAGTAATTCCCAGGGTCACAAGAATCCTGAGTAGTTTATGAAAGACAACTGAAATGAATTGTCTGCGGGACAACAGATCTATGCATTATCTTCACCAGCAAATGATCTATGAAGGTGTGTACAGGACTAAAGCAAAAGCAGCGAAAAGCATCAAGAGCAAAAATAGAAGCAAAATTAACAGTACAAGTTAAGAAAGATATGACACACCAACCAACTACACCTCAATCTCAAACTAGTCGAGGTGGGCAGGTGGCTATATGAATCTTCTGTTTTCCGTTTAGAGGATCATCATGGTTTGACAAACTTAACTCTAAAAACCAGAATCTAGCACTAGACTAAAATCCAATTAGGACGAGAATAAGATGATATGAAAAATAACTATTACGTGAATAAATTGTTTGATGGCTATGCTCTTGTGTATATTAGTCTAACAATGACCTCGGACATCAGTTTCTATGCACGGGTTGGTCAACAGATGAATAGTATAAATTGCCTGAGCAAAAATTCATAAATATACCTGTGAATAGCTGTTATTCTGTCTGTACTTTTCTTCCCATTCTCTTTGGGCTTTTTCCTCAGCTTCATATTGCCCTATAAGTTGTGCCTTATGTTGTAGAGCTCTTTCCATGTTTTCATCATTCTCATCTGCTTTCCTTTGATTTTCTGACATCTCTGAAGCATGAAAGTGAAGTTGACTTTTCGCATCATTATCGCCAGCACTGTCCATTAAGGATTGAGTCCCATTGTTAGCAGAAGAAGGAAGAATCTCGGAGGGACATCCACCAGAAGTATTTTGTAATTCATCAGTGGCTGATCTGGTCCACAAAAGAAATGACATTAAAAAGGGAACGATGATAAAGAGGAACTCTAATTGCACCAGGGGATATGCATATGATGCTTGTAAAATATGTATCAGAAATTTACCTAGCATAATCATAACTCAAACTTATTAAAGAACTTACCTGGTGTTACTGCGCCTTATCCGTCGGCATGATTTTCCAGAATGTCTTGGCGAAGAAGATCCAGTTGATGCGAAACTACTAGACCTCCTCCAGGAAGAATCACTGTATTTCTTCCTGTCGAAAAACTGCAAAGAATGATTATTACCACTTTTCCACGACAAACTTCTACCAGTTGATGGAGAAGATACAATCTCGGAGCTTGAGAATGTATCTGCATCATTTTCTTTCTCTTTCACATTTGATGAAGTTGGCTTTCGCCCGTCTCTATTGTCAGCGGACTCAGCACATTTAGAATCAGAGAATATCGCTTCCTGATCAGAGCCTGAATCAAACTCCTCCGAAGCATCAGATCTTCCATTGTTCTCTAAGATGGAAAGAACAGCTGCAGTGGCCTTCTCGGCTTTCTTTCTTTGTAGAGACACAATCTTTAGCTGCTCTTCCAGTTCCAAGACCTATAACACATTAATTAAAAAGCATTCACCTTTTCCACTCCAATTGCAGAAAATCTTTGATAAAATAGACTTAAGCTCGTGGTGGGCTGAGGAAGGAAGAAAAGATTCAAAAAGTTTGGTGCTTATACGTTTATAAGCTAAAGACTAACCCTCTCTGATAGTTCTTCAGCTCTCTGCCTTGCTGTTTGTGAGACAGACCTTTCAGCCAATAATCGTGCCCGGAGAAATTCAATTGTCATACTAGAATCTTCCATGCCAAGGATTTTCCTGATTAAGAAAATTATAAAATATTAAGTTCCATTTGAAAATAACATCCAACTCACTGAGGTAAAAAATGGAATAAAATCATCCCACTGCCTATGAACTTGATAAATCCTTAGGAACTGAACATGCAAGAGGATGCTTCAGAAAAAATCTTAACTCGCAAAGTACTAAATTTTCAATATACAAGCAGTGACTGAGATTTATATACCTTGAAATGCCGATATCCTACTCCCTCGCCCTCCCAAGTGGAAACTCCCTCTACTTTTCTTTCTTCTTTATCGGAGGAGAGTGAGCATATTAGTACTTCATCTAATAGATAGCCTTATACTTGAGTGATGTTCCCTAGTGAACAATAGAGATGGAACTCAATTTCTCTGCTCTATAAATCACTAAGTAAAATCTAAAGAGGTTGAATTCATAGTTGAATCTTTCAACTGAGTCTATCATCACTACCCAAGATTTTCACCTTTCTTTACCTAGAATTGACTTCGTGAGCCGAGGGTCTATCATAAACAACTCTCTACCTTCAAGCAGAGGCGGATACAGAATTTAAATTCTATGGGTTCAAACCAATTATATTTTTAAAGTCATGGGTTCATATCTACTATATGTTGTAATTTTAGTAATTTTTTACACATAAATTTATACTCCGCACTGAAAGTACCAAAGGGCTGGATTCGCCCCTGTCTTCAAGGTTGGGGTAAGGTCTGCGTACACACTATCCTCCTCAGACCCCATTTGTGGGATACACAGGACCCGAGGGAAACTAAGAAATATAAAAACTACATCTCTCATCCGGGGTGCAGGCGGGAGGTAGCAAGTACCGGGGTGAAATAGTTGAGGTACACGCAAGCTGGCCCGGACACTACTTTCATAGAAAAAAGGAAAAATATCCCACTCCCCATCTCCATCTTAATGAAAGAAAACATTTTTACTTCTTCTACTTACTTTTGTTCCACTAACAGAGTAAAGAAACAATTTTTACTGGGTTTTTGCAGTAAAGAGCTGTTTTAAAGCAATCAAAGTAAAACCCCAGAAAGGAAATAATCCTAAATCTAACAATTTCATATATCTACACATAAAGAAATATCTGTAAAGTATAGCAAGATTAGTACCTCTGATCTTGATCTTCTTTCCCATGACTTGTCATCTTGTAAAAGAAGCTCAAAGTTAAGCTCCTGCATAAATGTAGTGAATAAAATGGCACTCAAATTATTTAAATACCCCAAATAAAAGAATCAAAGAACCCAGTCAAGTTAGAAAAAAGTTGAAAAGAATGATGAGAGTTGACATAGTAAGACAAATAATTGAATAAAGATTGAAATTTTCTTCACCTTGAAATTGAAGCTGACTTAAGTTTGAGATCCTAAAAAGGGAATAGTAGTAGTTGAATTCATGGTTTAGTTTAAGGTGGACTTGTTCAGTTTATGAGTTTCTGGGAAGGGGTAGCTTTGGAAATGAAGAAAGCAAGTTGTATATTTCACCACAATTCACAAACAATTAATTACAATTCGGATCCGATAGAGACCGGACCAAATATCTTAATATTTTTTTTAAAACTACTTTTCACATAGTTAACTACTTCCTCCGTCTCATCCAAATATACCCCTATACTATCAGAAAAGGTGTAAATATCCCTCATTATACTTTGGGTCTGTATATATCCATGTCGTTATACTATTGGTTCAGATATGCCCCTTTTTCATTAAGTTTATCCAAAATGGATATTCAATCCTACGTGTCACTGATATTTGAAGAGGTGGCTGCCACATGGCTTGCCACCTCAGCGCCCCTAACACATTTTACCTCCTCCCTTCTATTTTTTTTTCACCACTAAATTTTTTTTTCCTCCACCATTATTGCCACCATTATCACTATATTGTATTTCAAATTTTAGTCTTTTATATATGAATTAGGGGCGCTGAGGTGGCATGCCATGTGGCATCCACCTCATCAAATATTAGTGCCGCGTAGGATTGGATGTCCACCTTGGACAAACTTAACAGAAGAGGGGTATATTTGAATCAATAGTATTACGGTAGGGATATATATGGACCCAAAGTATAACGAAGAGTATATTTAAACATTTTCTCATAGTATAGGGATATATTTGGCCCTTCAGCGTATTTATCAATCGTGATTACTAAAAATAAGGGAGAAGGTCCAAAATTACCCCTCTACTATGGTATATAGTTTAAGTTTGTCCCCCGTTATACTTTTCGTTCAGATCCACCCCTACCGTTAATAAACTTTCTAGAATTGCCCTTAACCCTAACGTCCTTCCACCGTGACACCCAATCCCTCTATTAATTTGTCCACATCAACTGCCATATCATCAGGTCCCACGTTAAAATTAACCTCATTTTCACACACCAGACTCCATGACCTTCATCTTCCTATTTCAATCCAAAACAAATTCACCATTAAAGTAAATCCAAAACTCGATTTAATCCGAACCAAATCAATCCAAGTGCTCTCAAAATTCAGAGACAAGTTTTTTTACTCAATACCAAGTATACTTGACAATACCTACAACTGATTTCAAACATAAAAATTTGAGTTCTATTCAAACCCACTTCAAAACTTCAAAGCTGCTCAATAATGGTGGTTTTAATTTCTTGCTCTAATTCGTTTTCCAACAGCAATCAAGCATTAGGAATAATTTAGCCCCTTAATTCCAGCTTCAAATCACATAGAGAACCTCTAAATCTTCGTATCCAGCACTGCCATTTGTTTTAAAAAGGGCTAAATTTTCATCACCACCTCCTCCACCGGACATGGCAAGGCTTCAATTGATAAGCAACCAAGCCCAACAAATATCGAAGGCATCACCACCTCCTCCGCCTCCCTTTCCCTCTCATCCTCCTCTTCCACCCCCACTTCCACTCTCAACACCCTGCAAAACAGGAGGATTACAAAGAAGTGTTCTTTCGACAACTTCCCCTCAAATGGTTAAGACAACATCAAGGAGTTCCACTCCAAAAACAACACCAGGGAGTGAGGATACAAGGCCTTCTGAAGAGGAAAATGGAGATGCCAGTTCTTTAGATAGACATGATTCTGGCGATACAGATCCTTCCAAGCCTAAGTTGAAGCCTCTGCACTGGGACAAAGTGCGAGCAAGCTCTGGTCAATCAAAATTCAAAGATCATTTTAGTAACTCAAAACTTCATATGGATTTCCGTGAAATCAAATCTGGTTTTTGAAAAATTAGGGATAGAGATGGCTTTCCTTTGAGAATTTTGGTCGCCGGAGAAGACTAAGAAACGTGAAAAGAGGGGGGGGGGGGGGAAGTGAAAGAAAGAAAAGAAAGATTAGAAAATATTTTTCGGTGACTTTTAGTGTGTGGGACCTGCTGATATGGCAGCTGATGTGGACAAATTAATAGAGGGATTGGGTGCCACGGTTGATGGACGTTAGAGTTAAGGGAAATTCTAGAAAGTTTGTTAACAGTAGGGGTGGATCTGAACGAAAAGTATAACGGGGGACAAACTTAAACTATATACCATAGTAGAGGGACAATTTTGGACCTTTTCCCTAAAAATAATTATCTCAAATTATTTTTCACTTTAGAAGTTCAAGACAAAATTATTTTTTTTTTTTTTTACCCTTAATAATAAATATCCTTGAAGACTACAAATAGGGGCGGATGCAACAAACAAGTTCCGGGTTCAACTGAACCCAATACTTTTGACGCGTAGCATAAATTTATGTGTAAATCTATTAAAATTATAAAAAATAGTAGATATGAACCCATAACTTTTAATATACTATATATATTATGGGCTCAATGCTAAAAACATTAAAGGTTGAACCCATAGAGTTTAAATCTTAGATCCGCCTCTGACTACAAATACCTCAATTATAGATAACTTTGTTCAAATACCAACGAAGAAAGATTAAAATTAAGATATGAATAAGGGTAAAGTAGTTAAAATCTCATTCTAATTTTTTTTTAAGGGGCATGTATAAAAGAATTATGACAGATAATACGATATAGAGAGAGTAAATAAGTAATCCCTCCATATTAATTTATGTGATCACATTTTGTTTTTAGTTTAAATAAGTAGTACTACTTTTCTCCTTTATGTAAAATAAGTAAGTTGCCATCCATTTAACTTGTAGTCTGTCACGATCCCAAATTCCCAAACCCGGTCGTGATGGCGCCTCTCGTGAAGACAAGGCCAGCCAGATCAAACCGAACACCTCTTTTAAACAGTTAAATACCATAAATAGTGGTTAAACATGATATAATAGTCATAATTTGTGGAAATAACGATAACAATAGGAGAAACCAACCCGACACAGCCCAAATCGGGGTGTCACAAGTCATGAGCAACTAAGAAATCCAGATATGAGTCTACTGAACACTAAATCCGGTACAATAGTCTAGGAACATGAAAATGATAAGATAGGGGAGGCACGGGGGCTGCGGACGCTGACAACTACCTCGTAATCTCCAAATCACTGCCTGGACTGGGAGGATCAGCACTTAGGAACGCACTCTGCTATGCCTGAATCTGCACACACGGTGCAGGGAGTAATGTGAGTACTCCGATCCAGTGAGTAATAATTATAAATAATGGCTGAAAGTATGAAAGCACGTAAAGGCACAAAACAATTCTATATTAAGCAGTAAAATCACTTAAAGCAGTAAATCAGAGAAGAACCCCAACGAAATCTCTTTAAAACAAGTAAATCAGGTAATTTAGCAGGTAAATAACAAGTAGAAATTCGCCCCTCGGGCACAGTGTCACTCAGTCAGAACAGTATCAGCCCCGCGGGCTCACTCTCAGTACAGTATCAGCCCCTCGGGCTCACTCTCAGATCAAATGGGTACCCACGCTTACTTTGGGTGTGCAGACTCCGGAGGGCCCCCTTACGGTCCAAGCGCTATATCAAGCGTGGCATCATCTCTCGGCATTCGGCCTCACAACACTCAAGCCACCTCGTGGCATATAAAAGTATCTCGGCCCTCGGCCTCATATCACTCAACATATCCTCACATATGGCCTTCGGCCTCACTCAGTCCGAAAATCATCATAAGCCCCTCGGGCAGTAGCAAAACAGTAGTTCTCAGCCCAAAACATCATTTAGAAATATCATTTAAGTTTCAAATCCGAGTAAAAGTTGCTGAGTTTGTAAAATAGTAGATATCAACAGGACTGAGTTCAAGTAATAATTCAAAGTAGTAAGGAAATAGTGATAGAAATCCCCGAAGGGTTCAAATAACTAGCACGAAGCCCAAATATGGCAATCAGCCCAAATCATGATGATAACAAGCAAATTTCAGTCAAATACGCAGTAATTTCATCAATCGGGACGGACCAAGTCACAATCCCCAACGGTGCTCTACCCCACGCTCGCTATCCGGCGTGCAAGTCACCTCAATATAGCACTACGATGTGCAAATTCCGGGGTTTCAAACCCTTAGGACATTATTTAACATCATTACTCACCTCGAACCGGCTAAATCTCTAGCTCGCTATGCCCTTGCTTCTCAAATCGGCCTCCTCGTGCGTCGAATCTGACCAAAACCAGAACGAATACGTCACAATAGGCTAAGGGAACAAAACCCAAGCGAAAACAATCAAAAATCCCGAAATTAGCAAAACCCGAGCCCCGGGCCCACTTCTCGAAACTCGGAAATTTTTACATTATTAGATTTCTTATCTCCCCACGAGTTCATACATATCGAAAACACAAGAATCGGAGTTCAATTGACCCCTCAAATCCCCAATTTAGACTCTCTTAATCTCAAGCCCTAAACCTCCATTTTTAGTCCAAAAAATTCCTTAATTTTCAGTCCTAATTCATGAAATATCACCATAGAATTGTGTTATAGGTCCAAAATCCTTACCTTATCGAAGTTCCTTTGAAATCTCTCTTCAAAATCGCCCAAAAACTCTAAGTCCGAAGTTAAAATGAATAAACCCTTCAAAAATCGCGAAGAAGAACCATTTATACCTTCTGCCCAGTCATAACCGCATCTGCGGTCAATTACCCACTTCTGCGGTACCGCTTCTGCGGTCATTTCTCCGCATTTGCGGAATTCACTTAAATCCCGCCTAACCGCATCTACGGTCCAATAGCCGCATCTGCGGATCCGCAGGTGCGGTCCCTATTCCGCATCTGCGATTCCTGACCTCACTCCTCAAATCCGCATCTGCGAAAAATCCTTCGAACATGCGATGCCGCACCTGCGGTCCCCAAACCGCAAGTGCGAAAACACCAGAAGCAGCAGAAGTTCTGCAATTACACAAGTCCAAAACTCTCCCGCTAGCCATCCGAAACCACTCCGAGGCCCCCGGGACCTCAACCAAAAGCACCAACATGACTCAATACCTTATTCAAACTTGCACCAATCATCAAAACACCTCTAACAACATCAAATTACCCAAAATTCATCGAATTCAAGCCTAACTTCCGAAATACGCTTTCGATCAAAAACCCAATCAAGCCACGTCCGAATGACCTAAAATTTTGCACACACATCCCAATTCACATAACGAAGCTACAACAACTCTTGGAATTCCATTCCGACCCTTTGATCAAAATCTCACCTACCAACCGGAAATCGCCAAAATACTAACTTCGCCAATTCAAGCCTAATTCAACACCGGACCTCCAAAACCAATTTCGATCACACTCCTAAGTCACAAATCACCTCCCGAAGCTAACCGAACCATCGGAACTCACATCCGATCCCTCTAACGCATAAGTCAACATCCGGTTGACTTTTCCAACTTAAACGTTCTTAAAAGAGACTAAGTGTCTCATTTCTTACCAAATCCAATCCGAACGCAAACTAAACAACTTGATCACATAAAATACGGATAACGAAGCATAAAGAAGCAAAAATGGGGGAAACGGAGCTGTAACTCATGAGAGGACTGGCCGGGTCGTCACATAGTCGAATAGAAGCCTCTTCTAGAAAAACTCTCATTTTTGTCAAAACTTTTAATGGAGCTCCAACTTAAAAGATAATTTTGTATTATAGTCAAAATTAATGGGAAATTGCAAATCTTTTTTGGTCGAAGAATTTTAATTTGTGGAGTCCACTCTTTCACGCCGAAGTTAGTTATAAAAACGACAATACTAAGATAATTCGCCAATGATAAAAAATATTAATTAATAAAAAGTTAAAAAAGATAAAATTTCTCAATCTCCAATATTACATGAATAAATTTAGACCTTTCTCCTATCATGAGAGAAACAAAATGATATAGATGCAAATTTAAAAACTCCAATTAAACATATCACTGTTTAACCAAAAAATAGAATTTTAGTCAAAGCTAGAATTTAGAAGAACTCGGGTTACTAATAATCAAAGAAATGAATAAAAGGAAATAATTCTGAGTAGCAATATAGTATGATACCAATGTATATTTCAATAGCTTTTTTTGTGTCCCTTACAACTGATCATATATCTCCTTTTTATAGGTACCTTTGAGAATGTACGTTATGCCCAAATCATAATGAGGCTATTATGAGTAATTAAAGACATTGAATGCTACGTTACACAATCATTACATTGAATATATATATTCCTTAACGGACTCAGCATTTAATACCCATTAAATGCTGTATCTGCACGCTTTTTTATAACCAGATTCATTCCTTCTGATGCCCGGATATAAATGATTTAAATAGGTACGGGCGCCGTGCTACTTATCTGATGTCACGTGCCTCTTCCTCCTTCTTTTCTCGTGTCTGTTTTACAATTCTTGAATCGTGTCTAATTGAGATTTATTGACCATTTGACCAATCCACGTGTCCTGACACGTCACCATATATATAAAATACAATTTTTCCCAATACAGATAGTCCCCCCACTTTCCATTTATTCATCAGTTTGAATATTTGGGAAGTGGAATTCATTTAAAAGAGAATTTTTGTCACCATTAATGCTCTGACAGAATCGAAGCTTCAATTGTCACTTCCATTTAATGCATTAGACACGTGTCATCCTCTTATTGGTTCTTCAGTTTTGCAGCACTTTCTTAGGCTTTCTTTTCGGCTTCCCTATTCACGAAGTGTCAGTTATCGTTATTATAGCTCTTCCATCATTGTACTTTTTCCTTTTACCGGTTACCCATTAGTATAAATATAACTTCTTTACTTGTCTTTTACCACATAAAGCGTGTCAAAGACTTTAATTCTTCAAAAACCTCTTGTTCTCTTCTGCTCTACTTCAATCTTCTTTGTCATGGCTTCACCAAACCCTAACCCTAGGAGAACCCCCATTTTAGATAACTTCCCCAATGCTCCTATTAGGCATAGAAGAGGGGGTAGACTCCGTAGCTTGGGGTCTGCTCGTGGCGGTAGCACATCCACTCCTTCTTCTAGTTCGGGTCCCTCTTCTAGGACTAGAGGTTCCCTTTCTCAGAGATCTTCTTCTAGGAATAAAGAATCCTCTGAGCCCTTCATGAGCCTCTAGTTGAAGAAATAGTCCCAACAGAAATTTCTTTTCACCATGATAGAGAATCTCTCAGGACCCAAGTTGCCTCTTTAGATCGTGCTGACGCTTTCCCCACTCAAATCATAGATATTTTAACTCCCATAATTCGTAAGGATTGTTGTTGGAGTGAAGATTTTCCAATTATCATTCCTAACCCAAATCAAAGGATCACTTCTTACTTAATCGGATTCTCTTTTGTTTACACATACCCTTTCACTCTAGGGTTTAAACCGGCCATTGACTCGGTCATTCTAGACTTTTGCCATTTTTTCAACGTGTGTTTGGGTCAAATTGGTCCGATTGTTTGGAGGGCTGTCGCCTGCTTGAGGCACCTCACTAACCTGGCGGATGTTAAATTTACTTTTCCCCACCTAATTCATCTCTATTCTCCTAGGCTTTTTCGCAACAGCGTGTTTTACCCTAGCAACCAGGAGCAAGAGGGTTTTAGTGAGCCCCGAGGATGATAAAGAGCGTGGATGGTATGCTCGGTTTGTTGCTGCCCCCACTGCTGGTTTGGTGGGTGAAAATAACGTTCCCTTCCCTGAGAAGTGGAACTTTTCACGTAAGAGTTAAATCTTCCTCGTGTCTTTTCCTTTCAAGCTTTATCAACTTTTCTAATGTCGCTTCTTTTTCTTTTCTCAGCAACCATGGGTGTTGTGGAGACTGTGCCCAACTTCCGTGGTTGGGTAGGAAAATTGTTGAAGACCGCTCCAATGGAGGGTAGGTCGTGGAAAAACCTTTCCAACCTTTACGGTTGGAAAGTAAAAACTCATGGTAAGAGTTTCTATTTTACCTTGTCTGTATATAAATATTTTCTTTGTTCTAACTTTTATCCTTCTTTTTATCAGGATTTGCTATTCGAGGAGTCACCGTAGAGGCAATCATAGCTTCTCGTGACTCTTTGAGTACTCGTACCTCTTCAGCCCAAGATATATTCTTGGGTTCTTCAAAAAGAAAAGCTACTGAGGAAGAAGATTCAGAGAAAGAAGATGAGGGTTCCCTGGTGATGAGACCACGAGCCCGAAGACGTATCGTCTCTGATGACGAGGCTGAAGTCTCCCCTCATCTATCTCTTTCCGAGCCTGTTGTTGCTCCAGTTATCATTCCTGATGATGACATCTTTCCTCACGACACTCGTGAGTCTATCAATCAATTTTTTGTTAGTGGTTTTGGTAGTGGAAACTTAGGACCTGTTCTAGACGAGCTTCCCTTATCTTCCTTTTCATCTCCCGTACCTGTGATTGCTTCTTTACCTTCATCAACTGTTGCTCCTTTGGCAATTCCTCCACCTATTGTTCACCATACGGAGGTGGGCTCTTCAAGTAGGAGTACTGCTATGAGGAGCGTAACCATTGAGGTTCCTGCTAATAACAGCCTCTTGAGAAAGTCCGGTCAAGCTGATATTTGGCTCGAGCCTTTGATTGGCCCCATCGAGAAAGCAAAGATTGAGAGCCATAGCAACCCGACTCTCATGAATGACATAGTGCATGCTACTTTAAAGGTATTTTTCTTTCCTATTTTTCTCCATTCTGTAAAAATTTTCGACTTTGGGATTCTTACTTCTCTTTTTTTACGTAGGCCAATCTTATTGGCACCGACCTGATGAGCAGAATCTCCCTCTTGGAGAAGGTAGCACGTGATTCCCAGTCGGAAGCAAACAACTGGAAGGAACAGTTTGACAGCGCTCAAATCGACATGGAGGATTTACAAGAGAGAAGAAGTACCTTAGAACAGCAAGTACGAGCATTAACTTCGGAGCTGGCGGTCATCAAGGCTTCATCGAGTCAGGCTGAGAAGGAAAGGGAGCGCCTTGAGTCTTCATTTTCTGAACAGTTATCCAAGGCCAGTGAAGAGATCAGGGCGTTGAAGGATCTTTTGAATCAAAAAGAAATTTATGCCGGGGAGCTGGTTCAGAATTTAACTAAGACACAGGAGGATCTTCGAGCCTCTGTTGATAAGGTGCATGCTTTGGAGAGTTCTCATGCCACCCTTCAATCTTCTTATAGTTCTGTCTTGGCTGAGAATGAAGAGCTCAAGAATGAGGTCGCTGCTTGGGAGAGGGATTATGAAATCCTTGAAGAGAAAACTGATGTTGAGGTAAGTTGGGCATTCTTAAATTCACGTCGTGACACCTTACTGGAAATGGGCCAAGAAAGCTTCAACCTGGAATCAGAATTAGCCAAGGTGAATGAAACCATTGAACGAGCTCAACAAACACAAGATTTTTCATCTCCCGAGGTTGAAGCTCCCGTGATTGAAACTCCCTTGGCTGAAACTCCCGTTGTTGAAGTTCCTGTGAACGCTGAAATCGCCACGGGTGTCTCACCTTCTTTAAGCCCAATTGTGCCTCTTGTTGCAAGCCAAGCTGAGACCTCGTCTGTTGGTGCTCCTGTTGCTGTGAATGAAGATCAACTCGCAACCGTTGATGATCCTGCCCAAGTTGAGCCCGTTGATGATCCTTCTTTAGTTCTCTCTTCTTAGTGAAAAAATTTACATTGCTTCAAAGCTTCAGCTCCATAAACCAATGAAAAGGGTGTTTCTCTTGTGCTCGTTTTTACTGTTGTGCAATATGCCCATAAGACACCAGGTAGCACCTCTGGCCAATTTCCTTTTGATTCTTCCAAACGCTTCTTTAAATTATTGACAATAACCTTGTTTGTTGATTCTGCTTGCCCATTACCTACGGGATGATAAGGTGTGGATGTAATCCTTTTAATTTGCCAACTTTGAAAAAATTCTGTGATTTGAGCTCCAATAAATTGAGGACCATTGTCACATACGATCTCCTTTGGTACGCCAAATTGGCATATGATGTTTCGCCAAATAAAATCTTTGACTTCCTTTTCTCGTACATGTTTGAAGGCTCCTGCCTCTACCTATTTAGTAAAATAATCAGTAAGTACGAGCAGAAATTTTACCTGTCCTTTTGCTTGTGGTAATGGACCCACGATATCCATTCCCCATTTCATGAATGGCCATGATGCGATAACCGGATGTAATAATTCCGTGGGTCTATGCATGCTGTTACCGTACCTTTGACATTTATCACATTTGGCCACGAAACTTTCCGCTTCTTCTTCCATTTTTGGCCAATAGTAACCTGCTCTGATTAAGGTTCTTACCAATGATCTTCCTCCAGCGTGATTTCCACAATGCCCCTCATGTATTTCCCTCATTACGTACTCTGTTTGAGAAGGACCGAGGCATCTAGCTAAGGGGCCACCGAACATTTTACGATATAGGTTGCCTTGATTTAAACAGTAGCGAGCAGCCTTTTTGCAAAGTGCATGGGCTTTTTTCTTGTCATCAGGGACGGTTCCATACTGCAAAAAAGCTACAATCTCGTTCCTCCAATCCCAAGTTAAATTATTAAAATTTACCTCATTCTTGTCAGGGTCGAGAAATGAATGAAATAAATGAATAACTGAGGTATTTGCATCGCTTGCCACGTCAGCCGCAGATGCGAGATTAGCTAAAGCGTTTGCTTCAAGATTTTCATCCCTTGGTATTTGTGTAACTTTCCAGGTTTGAAATTGCTTTATTAACTCCCGCACCTTTTCTAAATATTATTGCATCCTTGCTTCCCTGGCTGTATAAGTCCCCAGCATTTGATTAACCACGAGTTGTGAATGCTCTTGATTATAATCTGATTTATGCCAAGTTCTCGTGCCAATTCTAAACCTGAAATCACAGCCTCATACTCTGCCTCATTGTTAGTTATTGAATGACATTTGATAGCCTGTCGAATGGTTTCACCCGTACGTGGTACCAAAACAATCCCTAAACCTGCTCCTTTTACATTAGATGAACCATCAGCAAATAAAGTCCAAGTTCTTGGATTAGCTCCATTGAGCACCTGTAATCCTTTTTGTGCTTCTAATTGCATGCCGTGTCTAAAATCAGCCACGAAATCAACTAACACTTGTGATTTTATAGCAGTTCTAGGTTGGTACGTGATTTTGTATTCACTTAACTCTATTGCCCACTTAGCCAACCTACCTGATAATTTATGCTTATGCAATATATTACGTAAAGGATAGGCGGTTACTACAGCAATAGGATGACATTGAAAGTAACGCCTTAATTTCCTAGATGCCATGATTAATGCGAGTGCAAGCTTTTCCAATTGAGGAAACCGCGTTTCCGCATCTAACAAAGATTTACTAACATAATAGATAGGGGATTGTTTACCTTGTTCTTCTCAAACCAAAACCGCACTTACCACTACTTCTGAAACAGCAAGGTAAATGAGCAATCTTTCCCCAGCCTTTGGTTTTTCTAGTAACGGTGGATTTGATAAGTACACTTTCAAGTTCCTGAGTGCTTGCTGACACTCTTCGTTCCATTCAAAATGATCCTGCTTCTTAAGAGCTGAGAAGAATTGAAAACACTTCTCTGATGATTTAGAAATGAATCTTCCCAAAGCTGCAACCCTTCCTGTTAATCTTTGAACCTCTTTCTTGCTCGAGAGTATATCAGGGATTTCTTCAATGGACTTAATCTGTGCAGGATTTACCTCAATACCACGGTTAGAAACAATAAAACCTAAGAACTTACCTGATGCAATACTAAATGCACATTTTTCGGGATTTAACTTCATATTAAATTTCCGCAAAATTTTAAAAGTTTCAGATAGATGCAATATATGATCTCCTGAATGCTGAGTTTTAACAAGCATATCATCTATATATGCCTCCATATTTTTCCCAAATGCTCTTGAAACATTTTGGTAACTAACCTCTAATACGTTGCTCCTGCATTCTTTAGACCAAAGGGCATTACTTTATAACAGTAAGTCCCCCTGTCTGTTATGAAGGAAGTTTTTTCTTCATCTCCTGGATCCATTTTAATCTGATTATACCCTGAATATGCATCTAAAAAACTTAATAGTTCATGACCTGCAGTTGCATCAATCAATTGATCTATGTGTGGCAGTGGAAAAGAATCTTTAGGGCAGGCTTTATTAAGATCTATGTATCTACACAAACCTGCCACTTACCGTTCTTTTTTGGAACTACAACAGTGTTGGCTAACCAGTTAGGATACTTTACCTCACGAATAGAGCCAATTTTTAGCAAATTTTGGACTTCTTCTTGAATCACCTGATTCTTGAAAGTTCCTTGCTTTCTTTTCTTTTGCTTGACTGGAGGATATGAAGGATCTTCATTTAGTTTATGAGTCATCACCTCCGGTGGTATCCCTGTCATGTCAGTATGGGACCAAGCAAAACAGTCTGCGTTAGCTTTTAAAAATTCAATTAACTTACGCTTCACCTCCGGGCTAAGATTAGCTCCTATATACACTTCTCTCTCTGGCCAGTGTATAAACAAAACCACAGCCTCCAGCTCTTCTATCGTCGTTTTGATGTTTTCATTTTCCTCTGGTTCTTGAATGGAATTGGGCCTTGAATCTACATCTGTTTGCTCTTGTTCAGTTGAGGTTGACGCTATGTTATCCTCAACTGAATTCTGTAATTGCTATTTTTCTTCACCCTTCGTGCTTGAATCTGCCATGGAGTTGATGTTCCTAGATGTCTGTTGATCTCCCCGGATTTGACATATTCCCCATGGCGCTGGAAATTTAATGAATTGATGCAAATTTGAAGGAACAGCGTCCATCTCGTGGATCCATGGTCTCCCAAGAATCATATTGTAAGCCATCTCCATGTCTACTACCTGGAACTTTGTGTCTTTGACGACTCCTTCAGCAAATGTGGTAAGCGTTACCTCTCCTTTTGTAACGACGCTGGGATTATCAAAACCAGATAGAGTATGTGCCTTTGGTATTACTTTTTCTTCAGCTTGCATCTCACGTAATACTCGTATCAAAATAATGTTCACAGAACTACCTGGATCAATCAAAACTCGTTTCACGTTAGTGTCATGTATAAGTAAAGATATTACCAGTGCATCGTTATGTGGAGTTAATAGACCCTCGGCATCTGCATCATTGAATGTAATATTTTCTTCCTCCAATATATGCCGCAGCCGCTTCCCGTGAGTAATTGTTACTTTGGAAATCTTATTTGTTGTAGTATATAACACGCCATTGATATCTTCACCTCCACTTATAACGTTGACAGTTCTTTTGGGTGAAGGTGGCTTTGGAGGCTCTTGCATGTTCTTCATGTATGCTTGTTTACCTTTCTCACTGAATAACTCAGTGAGATACCCCTATTTTAGCAAATGATCAACTTCACCTTGCAAAAACCTGCAATCTGCTGTTTTATGCCCGTGATCGTTATGAAATTCGCACCAATGATCAGGGTTTCGTCTGTTTGGATTCGATCGCATTTCCTTTGGCCACCGTACCTTATCTCCCATGCTTCTTAAAACAGCTACGAGCTCAGAAGTGCTTACGTTGAAATTATAACCACCAAACCTTGCCTTCAGACCCATATCATCATCTCGTGGCTCGCGTGTGTTTCGATCATTCCCAAATCTGGAAGATGAGCCTGATTCTTTATTCCTTGATCTGTGATCGTACCTCTGATTATCCTGCTTTGATCGTGAGTCTCTCCCCGCAGGTCCCATGTATGGATCGTACCTGTTTTTACCGGATCTTTTTTCATTTTCTGCACGTCTTGAGCTTACTTTTTCTTCTTTTTTATGTCGTAAAATAATATCTTCTTCAATCCTCATCTTTGTACTGTATCTGTTATAGACGTCATTCCACGTCGTTGCTGGAAATTCTCGGAGGCTTTCTTTGAGTCGCCTCGTAGCTTCTGAACTGTTCTCATTCAAGTTGCTTGTGAAGGCTATGGCTGCCCAGTTGTCAGGTACACGTGGCAATGTCATTCTTTCACGTTGAAATCTGTCTACGAATTCTCTAAGCAATTCTGAGTCTCCTTGCTTGATCTTGAAGATATCTTCCATTCTTTTTTCAACTTTTTGAGCTCCCGAGTGTGCTTTGATAAAAGAATCTACAAGCTCAGCAAAAGAATTTATAGAATTTTCGGGTAAAAGAGAATACCATGTTAACGCTCCTTTAGTGAGCGTTTCACCGAATTTTTTGACTAAGACTGATTCAATCTCCTGCTTAGTCAGGTCGTTGCCCTTTACGCCTGTTGTAAATGCAGTAACGTGGTCTCGTGGGTCTGTTGTTCCATCGTACTTTGGTATATCAGGCATTTTGAACTTCTTTGGAATTGGGAGAGGAGCAGCACTTGGCTTCCAAGGCTGTTGAGAATACTTATCCATATCTACCCCTTTGATCACGGGCGGCACCCCAGGTATCTGCTCTATGCGATCACTTTGCTCCTTGAGCTGTTTCTGCAATGTTAGTACTAAATTCTATAAATTAGAATTACCTGGTTCTCCCTCCTGTGATTCGCTGGGGGTTCCCCCACTACCTGAATTAACGAGTCCGAAACGAGGGTTCTCTAGAGTGTTGTTATTTGGTGTGGGTGTAGGTGGTGCAGCGGGTAATTGACTAGCAAAAGCTTGAAGAGCTTTATTGACTTGTGATGCGATAAGTTTTTGTAAAGCTTCATCCGTAGCCTCCACATTTTCGAATTGAGCTTGTCCATCTGTATGAGACCCCTCAGGAGTGCCTTCACGAGACCGTCGTGGAGAACCTTGTGGAGAAGGAACTAATGCATTATTATCCTGCAGATCTCCCTGAAGTTGCTGATTTGTTTGATTTTCTTGATTTCCTTGAGTGTTATCATTGTTATTTGCCATAGTTGATGTAACAAGGAAAGTTAAGCAAAGAGGAAATAGATTATCAGATTCCCGGTAACGGAACCAATTTGTTTAACCAAAAAATAGAATTTTAGTCAAAGCTAGAATTTAGAAGAACTCGGGTTACTGATAATCAAAGAAATGAATAAAAGGAAATAATTCTGAGTAGTAATATAATAATCAAGAAAAACAAATGATACCAATGTATATTTCAATAGCTTTTTTTTGTGTCCCTTACAACTGATCATATATCTCCTTTTTATAGGTACCTTTGAGAATGTGCGTTATGCCCAAATCATAACGAGGCTATTATGAATAATTAAAGACATTAAATGCTACGTTACTCAATCATTACATTGAATATATATATTCCTTAACGGACTCAGCATTTAATACCCATTAAATGTTGTATCTGCACGCTTTTTTATAACCAGATTCATTCCTTCTAATGCCCGGATATAAATGATTTAAATAGGTACGGGCGCCGTGCTACTTATCTGATGTCCCGTGCCTCTTCCTTCTTCTTTGCTGGTGTCTGTTTTACAATTCTTGAATCGTGTCTAATTGAGATTTATTGACCATTTGACCAATCCACGTGTCCTGACACGTCACCATATATATAAAATAGAATTTTCCCCAATACAATCACACTACATGATAATGATACCAAAACTTCCTAGAGGTCGTTTGGTTTGATTAGTTACGATGAAATTAGTTATTTTGATATTATTTTTTATTGATTGTTTAATATATTATATTAATTATAAAATTATCAAATTACTATTTTAACCTAGAATAATTTATTTTGAGATTACTATTCCACCATCTGACATGTATATGTTATTCTAATACAATTTTAGTTATCTCAGGATTAATAGCCAAACAAGAAATAAGGTGATGCTAAATTTTTAAGCCAGAATTATTTTTGCTTATTCATTATACCAAACAACTTAGGCTCTGTTGCCCATATTTTCTTTCCTTTTTTTTTCAATATTTTAAAAAATGTGTTTGTCCATGAAATTTTACAAGTTTTTGAAATTTTTTCGAAAATGAGCTTTCCAAAAAAATATTTTTTCCCACTCACAAAACCGCAACATTTTATCAAGTGAAATGCATGTTCAAACATATTTTTAAATTCTAAATACTATTTTCCAACTTAAATCTAAATGCTATTTTTTCCCCAAAATTATAGTAATTTTTATGTTCAAACGCCTACTTAAAGTTCAATTTAGTATAAAACGTTCTTTTTGGGTAAATATCATAAAGTTCAATTGTTAAAATCTTCGTTTTAACAATTTGTCCAGATTAAAAAAGTTTTTTAAAAAAACAAAAAAACTCGCTGGTATAAAAATCCTTATCTCTCTCTCTCTCTCTCTCTCTCTCTACACGAACACAGTGTCAAGACACTGATGCTTTCTCCGGCATTGAGAGCAAATTGAACGGAGTTGACGGCCACCGGTATTCTGAAGCTTTTATTTTTGCAGATTATTTCTCCATATATTTATTTCAGGTAAACCCAATCATCTTTTATTTATATTTATTTTCATGACTTGGATACTTTATAATTTTCTACTTCCATTCTCTGGAAATTATGTTGTTTATTATTTTCTTTTATTTTTTGCTCAACGCGTTTCTCCATTTTATTACTACAGTATGTCGGAAGATGGTGTAATAGGGTTAACTTATCTAATTTTGAGGTTAAATAGTTTTTTAGAATTTCGTAAGTGAATTTATGTACTATGAGGGTGTTTGGCTAAGCTTATAAGCTGGTCAATCTGGCTTATAATTATATTTTGGCTTATCTATGCGTTTGGTAAAATTAGAAGCGCTTATAAGTTAAGCGCTTATAAGCCACAAATAAGCCAAAAGCCATAAGTTGGTCTCCCCAACTTATCAAATTTCAGCTTATAAGCAGTTTAAGTTTGACCAAAATATTTACTATTCTATCCCTAAAATATTCTTTTTAAAACGAAACTCTTCGTATACCCAGTTCTTTAGCTGCATATTATTAATTTCAGCACTTCTATCCAAATACGTAACTGCTTATTTTTTAATTCAGCTTCAGCACTTAAAAGTGCTTTTCAGCACCTAATGCTTATCAGCTACTCTAAATCAGCTAAGCCAAACGGGCTCTATATATAAACAGCTACTAAAAATCAGAACTTTTTATACTAGTTAAACTCTTTAAAATGATAGAAATGTTCTTAGAGAAGACAATTGTACTCTCTAAATAGGAATAATGTCCATATTGGGACAGAGGGGGTATAAATATTTATGTTTTACTATGTTCTTTGCATTCTTGTTTATTTATTAAATTTCAAAAGTTTTTCTTTATTTTTCCGATTTGAATTCTGTTTAGAATGGTATATATGAGTGTCCCAAATGAAAGAGACTTAAAGGTCTAACAGGGGTGTTGCAGATTTTAAAAAGAAAATGTTGAAGGTACAATGTAAATTGAATTAGGGAAAAAGAAATTTTCTTTTAAATGTGGTTATGGCAATATAAATTTGAAGGATCAAATCAAGTTGTAGAAGCTCTCAAGCTTGTTCCCAAAAAATTTCCGAGTTCATTTGGTTTGCTACTTCTTATTTTTGATAATTAGCGTTAACATCTAATATGATCAGACTCTTTAGTTTTAGAGAACTCATACTTTGCACAAAAGACAAAATTATTCAAGTATTTTAATGAGATAGACATGAATAGAGCGGAATAGATCCAAATGATTCATATAGTCGAGCCCAACTTATATGGTATTATGTCATGTATCCTAGTCATGTTATGCTTTCATTAGATTTGGTTGTTTTGGATTCACAAACTGATATCTAAATGAACTATGTTTAATTGTAGGGCTCATAACCCAAGTATTGAAAACGACTAAAATCCCTTCTTCCCGCCCAGAGTAAACCTGCATGTGATCTTAATTTCGAAGATGCAAATCTCTGTAGCGACTGTAATCCCAAAAGTGCCTTCATTCACCACATTTTACCAGTTCACCTCAAATCCAGCTCAACACGGTCTTAAAAAACCGAACCATGGTCTCTCAGTACAAACACACATCAATCTTCCAGCTCCATGTGCTGTCAAAAGTTCCTCTACTGGCTTCTTGTCTGCCATTGAGAGAGCAATAGAGGAAGAAGAGTATAGAAAAGCCAGGGCTGAGGTAAACCGGCAAGGGATAAATATTGAAGGTTATTCAATTGAAGGACACTCGATTGGTGGGCATGAGACCTGTGTTATTGTGCCACAACTGAAAGCTGCTTTTGATATTGGGAGATGCCCATCAAAGGCTGTTCATCAAAACTTCTTGTTTATCACTCACGCTCATCTTGACCACATTGTAAGCTTTCCCGCTATTTATAGTGTTTCTCTGCATTCAGTAGTAGATGTACTCAGACAGAGAAATTTAATTTTAAGTATGTAATAATCCATGGGCCTACGCACAACTCTTGGTATAAAAAGCAGACTTTGTTCCATGGCTTGAGTTGAACTTTGAAGCCAGCAGTGACTTTTGTGATATCTTGTGATTCAGGGTGGACTTCCTATGTATATTGCCACTCGTGGCTTGTACGGCTTGAAACCTCCGACAGTCTTCGTACCTCCTTCCATAAAAGAAGATGTAGAGAAGTTGCTTGATGTTCATAGATCAATGAGTCAGGTGGAACTGAATTTGGATCTGATTGCTTTGGATGTAGGTAAATATTCTGTTTTCTTTACATACATTTCTTCTCCATTTTGTTTTCCTATCTCCATGTGTAAAATGTATTGGAAACTTTGCACTCAGGGGAAACATATGAAATGCGGAATGACCTGGTAGTAAGACCAGTTAGAACTCACCATGTTATTCCCAGCCAGGTTTGTTTGCAAATCAGTTCTTTTTATTTCTGTATTTGAAATACCTCGAAACCTTTTATCTCAATTTGAATATGTTGAATACTTACTCTAGACTTGGAAATGTTGAATATCTTCCAAGATTTCAGACTCTGGTTAATGCCTACAACCTTGACATACATGCGAATGTGGTCATATTCAATTTATTGACTTGTTATTTCTTTACTGCGTTCTCCAGGGCTATGTGATATACTCAGTCAGAAAGAAGTTGAAGAAGCAATACATTCATCTACAGGGGAAACAAATAGAGAAACTGAAGAAATCGGGTGTTCAGGTTCATAATTTGTAACATAAGTTTTTGTGATATGAGTGGTGGCTCAAATCTGTTTTCTTGTCTAATGAAAATGTTCATTTGTTAGATAACAGATAGTGTGTTGTGTCCTGAAGTAGCCTTCACAGGAGATACAACATCAGACTTTTATCTTGATCCTCGCAGTGCTGATGCTTTGCGGGCAAAAGTTCTTATAACTGAGGTATAGCTGAATGAATAACATATAAATTGATTCTCATAACCAAGTTCAACCAGTGTCCTTTGTGCATTTTAGCATTTGAGTTATTGATATATTTTTGTCTCAAACTAATTCTTAATTGGTCTTGAAGTTCAGATGAATTATCTTGTAATAATCTCCTTTTAACTCCTTCACTGACCAAAAGTGTAGGTATAGGGTTACATATTAGTTTCCTTACACTGATCTATTCATTGAGGATAGAGGATAGACCCATGAAGGGGAGCCTTGGCATAACTGGTAAAGTTGCTGCCATGTGACCAGGAGGTCACGGGTTCGAGCCGTGGAAACAACCTCTTGTAAAAATGCAGAGTAAGGCTACATACAATAGACCCTTGTGGTCCGGCCCTTCTCAGACCCCGCGCATAGCGGGGAGCTTAGTGCACCGGGCTGCCCTTTATTGAGGATAGACCCAGACTGTAAGTGCTGCAGCTCTGCTGTTTATTACTTTATAAATAAGCTTGTATCTTGATTCCTTTAAAACCTTGTTTGTTGAGTTTTAATCATTATAGGCCTAAAAGGTAAGGCAAAATAGGAAAGGAGAGCAAAGTGGCTTCTTATGTGCATGGTCAGAACAGGAGTTGTGTGGTGTACCTTAATGTCCTAATAGTTCTAATGATTTCATTTTAACTTCCTCTTGTTTCTGAACAATGGAGTTTAATCCGCTAATTTTTACCTTCTTAAATGGTGTACTCTAGGGGAAAAACATGACAAGTTACTGCAATTCATGCATCAAGTATATATAATATTTCACTCCTATTGATTGCATGGCTGTGATTTACAGCCCTAGCATCTTAAGGTGTTAACTGATAACCTAATATGTCCATCTCTATCGGGAAATCTGTAAGCTTTCAAATACACGAACCTCGAGGTTGTAGCAGCAGCAAAAATGGAAGTAATATCCAAAGGATGAAAGTCCATACGGGGGTCTATCGGAAACAACCTCTCTACCTTTTCAAGGTAGGGGTAAGTCTACGTACACACTACCCTCCCAAGACCCCACTTGTAGGATTACACTGGATTGTTGTTGTTGTTGATGATGAAAGCCCATACTGTGTTATGAAATTCCTTGATAGAATTGCTGTGTGTTTAGCAACATATTTGTATGTCAATTACCTGATTATTTTCTGCAATGCCATGAATGTTAGAAACATATCTTCTTCTTTTTTGTTGATAAAGTGTAATCAACTTTTTGAATCCTTTTTTCTTTCTAATGCCCTTTCTTTAGCAGAGTCCATTTAACGCAAGCTGGTTTATCCTTGTAATGTTGATTGGCTTAGTGAAAATGGAATGGTCAAAAGAAAAAACAATTAGAACAATTTCCTCACTTTATGGAAGCATTCTAATGCAGCAGTTAGGATCAAGCTTTAATCTCATCTCTAAGACATAATTTCTGCTTTGACAGGCAACATTCTTGGATGACAACTGCGGCGTTGAGCATGCACGGGAGCATGGTCATACACATCTATATGAGGTATACCTGAGTCATTGGAATACCTACATAAGATTTACCATGATGCTAAATATAGTTCTTCTATCTTTGGCTCGAGCGACGAGCTATACTCCCCCTTTTGACTGTTGGAAGGTATTTGAGAACTGTAGTCAGTTAATTCTTCCAACTTTTGGAATTGCAGATAATGGAACATGCCCAATGGATACGGAACAAAACACTTGTTTTAACCCATTTTTCACCACGCTACAACATTGAGGTAGTCAACTCAGTCTCAACATTAGTGGTTTCAGTTTCTTTCAACTTAATTAGTTTCTCCTAGACTTGGATAATGAGAAGCCTGTATTCTTCTTAAAATTTGGCTTGTTTGGCATTTTTCATTGATTTACAGGACATTCGTCAAGGTGTATCAAAGTTGCAACCCCTGGTATCAGCCAAAGTGGTTGCCTTAACTGAGGGCTTCAAATCAATGCACTTATAGTTATTCTTTTCCTCTTTTTGTAAGAAAACTTACACATGCCTAGTTAGTGAAACTGTGTACAGTTTTGTATGGTTAGTTGTGAGAAATAGAGGTAATTCATGCTCTTTTACAAACTCTTTTACTTTGTACAAGTTTCACCAAGCATCTGTATTATTTTTGACTTAACCAAAATGCTTCATGTGCACATACATGTCTTGCATTCGTTGATTTAGTACAACTATTTACTTGGTCAATTTATGTATACAGTAATTAACCAAGGATAAATTAGTCACTCTCCTAGTTGGCTAGTTCTCTCTACACACCATCCTCCTATATAAAATCATAGGAAAAAGAGAATAAAAATTTTAACACTTACTTTTTGTTTCAAACTATATGAATAATGGCTAATAATTTTTAAAATGTATTCTTTTGTCATTTCGATATAAGGAAAGTTACAACTTGTAACAATTTTAGTGTAGTTTTTTGAGTATTTACATTAATATTATTTGATTTAACTCTGATAATTGGTTATATAATCATATTGACTATCTATAAGTAAATATATAAATTGGGACAGGATGGAGCATTAGGTAAAGAGACGATTTCAACATTTGAACACTGCGTACAAAAGAAAATTTATTTTACACAAAATTTACATGGGAAAACTGCACAGTATAGCTGCTCTAAACAATAATAGCTGGCAAATTGTATATTTTTTTATTATAAATAATGTATAATATACAAAAATTATATATTAGTGTATTTTTTTTACATATTAACTAGCGAATGTAATTATTTTAAATTTACATAAGCTAGATAAAGCGAAGTAGCTGAGGTCGGGCTAATAACTTGAGTCGCCCATGGGCTGATTAGTAGAGGCCTAAGGCCCATTTAGTGTAACCACAACACTGGACTGTAGTGTAGGCCCACACCATATTGTTCGCGTTGTAAACTTTAAACTGAACGAGTAGTGCAAGACTGAAATACGCAGAGTTTTCTTGTTGTTTCTGAAAAAAAAAAAAGAAAAAAAGAACGACTCTCCCATGTCATGCACAAGAAAACAGGCATGAATAAAAATATCTACATATTTGCAGAACAAAAGCACTTGATGCAAAAGATGATTTGATCATGTTTTACGTTGACCTCCAAATGCATCGTGAAACCATGGCGTGTGAAGGTGTTAAAAGGAAATGAACAGAAAACAAACAAAGAAAAAGAGATTAACAGAATTCCCCTGCATTCATAAAAATATCATTTTCCATTACTTCCTCAAACTAGAATAGACATCAGCATTTCATTCTTCATCCTTATTTCTGATCTCCAAATCAAGAAAACAAAGTCAGAGCTACCACGCGCCCAGAAAACCGGGGAAAAAAAGGAAAATGAGAAATGAAAAAAAAGAAGCTAATAACAATTGTAAATCAGCATGGCAGAATATGACCTACCATCACAGTTTACAGATGTACATACATATCCTCTTTTACCTCCAGGCACGAGCGGTGAAAATGAAAGTAATTTGGATCTCTAGACCTGCTACAGAAACAGCTGATGGTAATTATGAGAAACACCACGACCAAAATACATAAAATGAACAAACAAATTCTTGTAGCAGAAAACCTGCACAGCATCTTTAAGTACTGATGAACCGTTTGTTCCTTAGTCGCACGACTTTCATTCTCGCAGAACTACATAGAAGCACACTCCCAGAAAAGGACACAACTTCTGTCCATTTGAAATCTTGGTTTTTAGTTAATAAAAAAGTTAGCAGTTAAAACCAACAGAAACTTGGAAGGAAACAATATGTCTTGCTTGGGTGAAAACAAGAAGGAATCAAGGTTAACGTTGACATATCTCAGAACAATACTATGCCAAGTGTCGATTAACTTTACACTTGCTATACTACTTTTGTCTATAATTAGTTACACAGATGTTGATTTAGAGCATAATGAATCATTAAGAAATGACATCGAATCGAAGAATAACAGTTCAGGGATGTCAAGAGAGGCATACACTTTCATAGAAATAGCAACCAAAAACTCTTCTATAGCTGCTAAAAGAGACAGCCCAATAATTTGATTACACATTTTAAAACTGAGTGCCTTTGATTTACATTTTATCCACAACACCTTGAGATTTTGTAAACTATATTATCTACATCGATCCAATTAAATGTAAATGTCTTTTCCTGCTATGTCCATAAAAAGAAAAGACTATAACTCTTCTCTATACATACAAGGAAGTAAGTCTTCCACCATATTCTAGTGCAAAATAAGTGCAACATGCAATTGGAGGATCCATAAACAGAGAGACAGCATATTATAAGACATTATATACAAATAGCTGTATCTGAATTAATTTACTTTTCTCGGCAAAAAAACATGCCAATATCGAAGTTATCCTGACAACACAAATCATGAAGCTTTATAGTAGCAGCAACAAAAGCCATGAATTGTCTTATCTGTGGGATAGTTGTTGAAGGAGAGGAGCTGCAAATGCAAGCATCATCTTTTGACTTTTGGAGGCAAAGGATGTATGCATCCAACTGTTGCCCTGGAAAATTCACACGTTATGAATAAAACGCTTTGGAAAGAAATGCATACGCTCCCAACAAGACCATCAAAGAGATTGGTAATTCAAATCCACAATATGTCAACATTATGAAAAATACATCATACATTTAAGGTACTAACAATATAAATTTAAATGTCCTCATTTTTACAACAGTAGAAACTAAAAGGAAACTACTTGGGCAAGATATCTGAAACTATAAAGTAATGCATTCAAAAAAAATGGAAGTTTATTTCTTTCCAAGAATATAAGGCTGATAACATAGTTACAATTGCTCAACTGTCTACAGCAATGGAGGTAAGCAACCAATACAAAAATTATAAATGAAACACCTATTCTCATGCTTGTTAATTACAAGGTTATCCAAGGCAAAACACGGATGAGATCCAACCATTGCAAAGAAAGGTGAAAGGATGAAATAAAAAATCAACTGACATGAACACCAGTTCCAGCAGAAATTAAAGTCCTCAGCTCAGCTAAATGTTCATCATTTGAAATATGGAGCGAGATGCGAAGATTCGTTAACAATGCTTCTTGGTCCCAACTTAAGGGACCGGAAGCATACAATGCCTCCAAAGTGCAGCGATAAGCATGTAACTCCAAACTATGAATACTTGCTGCTACTTTCTCTGGTGAAGAAAGAGAGTGTCTTTCCTCCTCATCTGCTGAATTTCGAAAAGACTCTGCATCACTGCAAAGAAGCTCAGCTCCTTGGCAATAAACTTCTACTGGAGAACAGTTAGAGAATTCATCGTTGATACTACAACTACCAACAGAACAGGCATCGCTATGAGAATCACTAGATTCTGTACTTGTGGTAAGGAAATAGCCAACTGAACCACTTCTTTTGGTTTGCCTCAATGCGCAATATCCATCAGATACATCGTTCAATGAATTATGCACATACTTTTCATCTGTTCTATTCTCTTTGCACTTAGCACTAACATTGACCTGTCCCTTAAAGGCAGCTGTCACCACTCTCCGTCTCTTAAAAGCTCTCTCGGTTGCCTCTAAATCCTGAATGTTTCTAGAGGTTTCAGTTTTAGTGAGGGCAACATGGGATGAACTATTCAGCAAGCTAATACTATGAGACTTCCTCAATTCAGTACACTCTAAATGATCGTCCCCAAGAAATTTAAGAGACAGGACCTTGCTCACTTTTTTAGAAGGTATTACAGCAGAAAGGTGATCACACAGTCCAGATCCCTAAAAGAAGAAACAAACATGTAGTCAACAAACACATCATTAGAGATCAATTATTTTCAACCAAACAATATAAGGAATGAAGAAAAAACGATAAAGGATAAGTGGAACTCAAACAATAAAGCGAAAAAGGGTGAAATAAAACTGGGAAGTTGTATACTTCTATTAGACACCATGCAACCGAGGAGATTGGGGAAAAAAATCACAATGAAATGAATTGGGAGCATTAGGTTTGGGGAAAGGGAGAGGAGGGGAGACTATAAACTCACCTTCCCAATCAAGTCCTCTTCCTCATATAGCACTCTGGTCTTTGATCTGTGCACGCAAAGCTCCTTCAGGCGACGTACCAAATAGTAGTCTCTATCCAGAACCTTAACAATTGTGGCAGTTGATTCGTCAACAACTCGACCAATTTCCTCATTATCCACACATGGTGTACAAGATCTGATATCCTTCCTCGACACCCTCTCAATCCTTCCCCTGCTTTCCATTCTTGTGTCCACGCTATTCTTCCACTTTTTCATAATAGCGAACCTTTTCATCTATTTTCTATAGTATTTATGTTAGTTATTATTTCTATAGTTTCTGACCATGATACTTATATATTATCTTTTTGTCTCTTAGAGTCGAGGTCTATCGAAAACAGCTTATTTATCCCTTGGATAGGGGTAACTAGGAGTGTTTATGGTTCGATTTGGATTAGAACCAAACCAAACCAATTAAGTTGGTTTTTTCTCGATTTGGTTTATGCTGAGTCTCGTCGGTTTTCGGTTTTTTCGATTATTTATCGGTTTTTTCTTCACTATAAGACATACACTACCAAACACAATTCCGGCGACTACATTTTCAACGTAACAATATCAAACAATTGCCCTTTGAGAAATCTATGATTTACCAAGATATGTTGATGATAATTGAATCAAATAGTGATGAATAATTTAAGGAATCAATTAAAAATGGATTATTTTTAACATGAAATGCATTCTTACACTTGACAAAAGAAACTACCAATCAATCTAGAATATAAAGGCAAAGAACTGTACCAATAGTGCAAACGATTAACATTTACCATACAATTTTAGAAACTTTGTACAAATACATATATATATATATATATATATTATATATATATATATATATAATATATATATCTATATTGTGAGNTTGAAATAGCTATTTTTATTGTCGGTTTGGTTCGGATTTTTTTGGTTATTTTTTATTAAAACCAAAACCAAACCAAATGCGTAATAAAAAAATTTGAAATAGCTATTTCTATTGTCGGTTTGGTTCGGGTTTTTTTTGGTTATTTTTTATTAAAACCAAAACCAAACTAAATTTGATCGGTTTTTAAAATTCAAATTCAAAACCAAACCAAACTAAAAAGTATCGATTTCTTTGGTCGGTTTGGTTTGGATTTGGCTTGGTTCGGTTTTTCGGGTTTTTATGAACACCCCTGGGGGTAAGGTCTGCCTACACTCTACCCTCCCAGACCCCACTTGCGAGATTTTACTGGGTTGTTGTTGTTGTAGGGTAGTATCAGGTATTATAGGTTTTTTTTTAATCTTTTAAGTGATGCACCCACTTTAGCCCCTTTACAATATTGAATTTAAGAAAATGAGTGTAAAAGACAAATCTTTTACGTGTAAAAAAATCTCCCATGTGTAAAAAAAGAGTTAAGGTTATAAAACTAAAAACAAATTTGTAAAGAGTCAAAAAACTAATTGACCCATGTAATTGTCCAAAATAAAACAGATGGTTTTCTATGTAGTGTATAGCCTAAATTTAAGTTGCATTTTATTCCATCTTCTTCGTTTTATGTGATTGTGTTTGACCATATATAGAGTTTAAGATATTAATTTGGCTGAATACATGGGCAGCCCCTTAAACTTGATCAACTTTTTCATTTAGGTACCTCTACTAAAGCTTGTACCTATTGAACACTTAATGTTAGTTGAAAACGTGTTAATTAAACACAAGTTGCTGACATGGCAACTAGCGTGTATCTCACCTCTTCTGCGAACGTGAAGATACATAATTTTAAAATTTTTATGTTTTCAGTTCTTTCTCCTTTAATTTATCTCTGTCACTACAATCACCCCACTACCGTATAGCTCTTCTTATGCCTTCGCTGTATCCACCAACATCAATAAACATCAGTTGACAGCTCCATAGATCACCCTTAAAACACACAACCACCGAATTCAGCCACTAAATAAACACCAATCATTCCCCTCATTCTCTCTAAAACCACCATCCTCTGATTACCCATATACAATAACTCCATCAACCCCACGGTCATAGACCCACATGCTCTGCACCCCACAACCTCAAATCCATTAGATTACAAATAATATTAAGAAATCTCAAAGATTCAGAAGGAAACGCCAAGAACCCACCCAAAAAGGCTCCTTCAAATCTTAATTTTCTCCACACTCCCTTCTAAGTTGCATCAATTTGACTTGTTTTTAAAGTTGCTTTGATTTTTAGTTTTTTATGGGGTTGAAAGAGCGGTGCAATGGAGTGATTCTGAAGGTGAAGATTTGTATTTAACGTATATGAATTTATGGGTTTACAGGGGGTTATGGTGCATCCATGATAAGGAAGGTTAGGAAGACAAACAATAGAAGAAGAAGAAAAAGATAGGAAAAGAAAGATGAATGATTTGTTTGCAGGTGGTTTCAATGGTGGAAGAGAGGACGTTGAAGAAACAACGAAAAAAGGCTGGGTTTGTTGATGCAAACGCAGAATAATTTTTGTCTTTTTCATTAAGCTGCCACATGTCTTTATTTTATTTGTTCATTGCCACTTCATTAGCGTTTGAGCTGCACGCACACGGTCTTTTTATCAAGTTGTTCTCGAAGGGTTCAACTGGTACAATTTGAATATACTTTTTTTTGAGCAAACAAGATATATATATATATATATATATATATATATATATATATATATNCAAAACGACAAGAAAATTTTGAGGCACCAAATCTGTTGAGGCTAAAATAGCAAGAGAAGTAAGCACACACAAGTGAGTTTGAGCTAAAATCCTGCCCTACCCCTGCCCTGCCCCATTTACTATTTTCTGAAAATGTGTTTTGACCCGTCCCGCCCTGCCCTGCCCCATTAAGACTTTGCCCTGCCCTGCCCCATTAAGGTTTTGCCCTGCCCCGCCCCGTCCCATTTGCCATCCCTACTGAGAAAGAAGGATATGTATATTTTTTTTTGAGCAAACAAGATATATATATATTAATACTTAAGGAGGATGAAATACATTGTTTCCAAACATAGTGTCTCTAAGGACACTTTGATTTTCTAAGCTTGCCAATGTATTGCAAGCATCATACGATAGTTTTTTTAACAAAAATACATTCATTTAGCAAGTCTTTTTCCACAACACATTTAACATAGGATGGTGGTTCCACAAAAATCTTCATTCCTTCTTGTTCCTCCTTTGCCTTCTTGACCAGTTGATGTGCTACATTATTCCCCTGCCTAAAGTTGTGCCGAAGGATTATCCCCTTCTGTTGGTGCATTGACCACCTGCAAGCATTAACAATGTCATAATACAGTATGTTTCCTTGGAGTATCGCTTGTATGACCTCCACTGAGTCTGATTCAATTTCTAGTGGATATAAATTCCATTGCTTAGCCATTTTCAGGCCTTCCAGTATTGCTTTGAGCTCAGCCTCTAATGATCCTCCTGCATATGTAGATTTACCAAAGCCTACGATCCAGTGTCCTTTAAAGTTTCTAAAAATGCCTCCTAAACCACTTTTTTGTGTAACGACATTATGGCTAGCATCTATGTTAAATTTTATCCAACCTTGTAGTGGTTTGTGCCATGCCACCTTAATAGTGGCTTTTGGGGGGTTATGTATGCTTCTTTCAGTGAGTAGCTTGTATTCAGTGGCCTTTTTATAGACAAAATTAAAATTGATTATAGAGCAGGTGTTGTTGTGATTGTTATTATTCCTGTTTGTCCAAGTGTGCCAAATTATGAAAGGCAGGAAGGTGTCCCAATTGATAAGGCTATGCGGAATAGTATAGTTGAAATTTCTTAGTTGAATTAGCCAGTGTACCTCGTTATCTTTATAGTGATGATGTAGTCTCATTCTATCCCAAAGAGGCTTAATGGCCTTACAATGTATGAAGATATGATCATTGGATTCTTCTTCATTGTTCCTACATACTAGGCACATTTCATCTATGTTCAAACCAATTCTGGCTAGGTATTGTCTACAAGGGATCCTATTGTGGAGGCATTGCCAGAAGAAGTACTTAATCTTGTTGGGACAGTTTAGCTTCTAAATCCATTGAAAATCATCTTTTATATTATTGGAGGATTCAAGAAGGTTAAAACAAGTTTTTGAGGTGAAAAATCCTTTGGTAGTTAGAGACCATATAGGAATATCACTTTTAGGACCATTTCTCCGGATTCTGACTTTTTCTATAACCTCCTTTATGTTGTTAGGGATGTCAATAGATAATCTATCAAAATTCCAATTATTATCTAAAAATATATGCTTAATATTAATAGTATACTCATCTTGTAGTAAAGGGCCTTCCACCTTTGCTCTAAGGGTTCCAATCCCAGGTATTCAATTTGCATCCCATATATTAATGTTGGAAAGGATGTGGGGGGACCAAGTAATACCTTTGCTACATAATTCCCAACCTTTTTTTATGCTTTTCCAAATAAAAGAATTTTTATTGACAGCCTTTGAGGAAGCATAATTGGAGATTAAGAGGGTCGCCCAAGGGGATGTGGGATTTGTGAGCATTCTCCAAACCATACTAGCCAAAATGCAAAGGTTCTTTGAGTTTGCACTATGGTTTCCTAGACCCCCACTAGATTTGGGTTGGCATATGGTAGACCATTTTATAAGGTGTAACTTTCTCATATCACTAGTAGTACCCCAAATGAAATCCCTTTGCACCTTATCAATGCTTTTCAGTGTCTTCTTAGGTAGTAAAGTATACTGCATATAATGATTGGGAATTGAATTTAGGCAAGAAAGGGCTAGGGTGGTTCTTCTTGCAATATTAAGAAAATTTATTTTCCAAGTTGCTAACTGGGATCTCATCTTATCAATAATGAATTGGTAATCTCTTGGTCTAGGGGTGCTGTTTAATATAGGGAAACCTAAGTAAGTCCCAAAAGATTCACTCTTCCTAATACCTAGTATACTAGTAATTTCCATTATGTCTTGGTCCTTGCAGTTTTTTGAAAATAAAATTTTGGATTTATCTGGATTAATCTTTAGTCCAGACATTTTACTAAAACAATCAAGACCTTCCTTAATGGAGTAACATGACTTCTTATTAGCTATTGCCATTAAGGTAAGGTCGTCTGCAAAGAACAAATGAGAAAATTTTAGACTTCTCCCACTAGTGGTTATAGGGTCCCACTTCATTAAGTCTACTTGATAGTGGATATACCTAGAAAGCATCTCAAGACAAAGGATAAATATATAGGGAGAAATGGGATCCCCTTGTCTAATACCCCTGGTAAGCTCAAAAGAATTTGTGA